GATAGATAGATAGATAGATAGATAGATAGATAGATAGATAGATAGATCTTCCAATCATAATAACAAGTACAGGTAGTCCTTGACTTATGACCAAAATTGAGCCCCAAATTTCTGTTGCTAAGTGAGACAGCTGTTAAGTGTGCTTTGCCCCATTTTAGGACCTTTCTTGCCACAGCTGTTAAGTGAACCACTATATTTGTTAACTTTAGTAGAACAGTTGTTAAGTGAATCTGGCTTCCCCATTGACTTTGCTTGTCAAAAGGTCGCAAAAGGTGATCACATGACCCCAAGACACTGCAAACATCATAAATATGTATCAGTTGCCAAGTGTCTGAATTTTGATCACATGACCATGGGAATGCTACTATGGTAAGAATGAAAAATGGTCATAAGTTGTTTTTTTCAATGCTGTTGTAAATTTTCCCCGCCTTTTCTGCCTGGAATCTTTAGTTCCTTCTGGTGTCCAATTCTTTAATGAGAACATTTTAAATCTCTGTTGTGACTTAAGATAGACAAAACAATTTGGTTCCTGCAAAAAGCTGTTTATTTTATTTAATTATTTTTAAAATCTTAGAGTAAATGTCTCAATACCCCAAATTTGTTTGGATCCTTAATTTATTTATAACTTTCTAGACTAGATTAAATTTGTATTTAGCTTTTTGCTGTTTATTTCCAATTATTTAATTGAAATCCAATATCCATTAAAAGGACATGATTATGAGCATGATGGCTGACCCTCATTACTTTTCAGAGAACCAGCTTTTGCTCCAGGAATTTTTAATGTCGTGGTTTGTGGCAACGGTATAGTCTCCATCTGACCTGCGAGAGTTTCTGCAACTCCTGCAGCTTTCAGTAATCAGCGATACTGAAAACTAATGGAACTATTTCCTTCCATTTCCCCAACTCACTGAAAACCAATTGGTAAAATATGAGATCTGTGTCATTAGTTCAGTCTAAAATGGAGCGCTGGTGTATTTACCTTGCCCGCCGTAAAATATGCAGAACAATGTAGTTTGTTTTGCTAAATTTAATAAATATACGCTGTTCATTGGTTTTCTTTCTTAATGTAAATAGGTATCAGGAAGCCACTGAGAAGTATGAGGCTGTTATGAAGCTGGAGACAAACGTTCCTATCTACACTACTCGAGCCAAAGAGAGAATCTGTCATTGCCTTTCAATGGTAAACATTCAGTTCATTGGGCAAAAGATCTTATGGAGCCCTGGTGATGCCATGGTTAGAATGCAGTACTGCAGGCTACTTCTGCTGACTGCCGGCTGCCTGCATTTGGGCAGTTTGAATCTCACCAGGTTCAAGGTTGACTCAGCCTTCCATCCTTCTGAGGTCGGCAAAATGAGGCTGGGGGCAATATGCTGACTCTGTAAACTGCTTAGAGAGGGCTGTAAAGCACTGTGAAGTGGTATATAAGTCTAAGTGCTATTGCTATTATTGTCCTCATTGGTCCATCTAATTTTTCTCAGAATCAACAGACAACGGAAGCCATTAATGTTTGCACAGAAGTTCTGCAGCTCGAGCCAGAAAATGTGAATGCCCTCAAAGATCGAGCTGAAGCATACTTGCTAGAAGAAATGTATGAAGAAGGTACATTTCAACAGCGTAAAGATTCTTTGTTTTCCTTTATCCAATTTTAAATAAACATACCGTTTGAAATCTGGCCAGGCTGGACATGAATTCCTGTACTACAAATCTCTAAATGAACTCTGTTTGTTGTCTTTGTGATAGCTATCCAGGACTATGAAACTGCTAAACAATACAGCGATAATGACCAGCAGATTCTGGAAAGCCTTGAGAAAGCCCAGCGGATGCTCAAGCAGTCTCAAAAAAGGGACTACTATAAAATCTTAGGAGTTAAAAGGTAAGCATTTAGCAATGGACAATCACCTATAGTTTCCTTAAATGCTGCTTTTTCTTCAAGAGGCTATAGAAGTAGTCCTCTATTTAAAGTGGCAATTGGGACCGGAACTGCCATCACTAAGCGATGGGGTTATAAAATGTGACAGCACATGACCATGCTGTTTTGCGACAACAGTTGAGGCGGTCCCACTCACAGCCAATAAATGAGGACCTCACATGACTACAAGTTCCAATTTCCTGCTAGCTTCCCCATTGTCTTTGCTTCGTGGGAAGCCAATAGGGAATGTTGGAAGTCACGATCACATGACTGCGGAGACACTGGAACTTCGAGGATTGGTCGTAACTCCCAGTCATTTAGCACCTTCATAAGTTTTAAATGATTGCTGAATGAGTGGTCGCTAGATGCTGTGTTACCTTCTTATGAAGCCTATAAGAAAGAGTTTCTCTTAACTATCTTAAAAGAAGTTCTATACTAAGAGAAGGAAACTTACCCTGTTTCCCCCAAAATACAACCTACCCTGAAAGTAAGTCCTAGATTGATTTTTACACGTGTGCCCAATATAAGTCCTTCCCCCAAAATAAGCCCTAATTAAGATCCCGCCCACTCCAGAGTGCATGGGTAAAAATTAAGCTAGGGTGGGGATGCGGGGAGTTGCGCTGCCCTACTATTTACTTTTGGACAGTTGCAGCCAGGCCTCGCATACTCTGACACCTGCCTTGTTGGCCCATTTCTTCTGCAGCTGACAAGGCCGGCAAGGCTTTCCTGAAGGCCTCTGTAGCTGATAACAAAACTCTGGATTGATCTGGAGCTCTATTATCGGCTGCAGAAGCCTTCAGGAAAGCCTTGCCGGCCGCAAAGGAAGTTCCTGAAGTCCTCCAACAGCGCAAAGGAGGCCGGGTGAGGTTAGTCAGTGGATGACTTCCCCTCAAAATAAGACCTGGTGCCTTTTTTGGTGGCAAAAAAAATATAAGACAGGGCCTTATTTTCGGGGAAACACAGTATAAATGCAACATAGAATGCTACATGTAGAGAAATTTAGAGCATGAAGAGAATTGAGCTTCCTCTATGTAGGGAGTTATCATTCTGCGTATTTCCCTGTTACCCAGAAGTTAAGCCATATAATAGAAGATGGTACCTGCAAAGAGGACAGCCAGAGTATCTGAATTTCTATCCACTGACAGGGGTCTTGGCTTCTTTTTAAAAATCTTTCCAAGTTATTTCTTATACTTCTGACAGGAATGCTAGAAAACAGGAAATCATAAAAGCCTACAGGAAGCTGGCAATGCAGTGGCACCCAGATAATTTTCAGAATGAAGAAGAGAAGAAGAAAGCAGAGAAGAAGTTTATTGATATTGCAGCTGCCAAAGAAGTCCTCACAGATCCAGGTAGATAGATGTGTAGCTTGTCTGCTTCCTTACTTTCAGAAGAAGAGATGAGCCCGTTGGGTTGTTTTTCACTTCATCCTTATGAGAATCAATCAACATTCATTTTCCTTCTGTGTCCAGTGCTGTGTTTATTGAGGTTATTTCAGTTTTGAAGGGATTCAGCTGATACATGGTCCAGAGAGCTTGATAAATGGCTTATATAGTGAAGTAAAATAGCATTTTTGGTGCTAGCTGCACATCCAGCCTTCTATGCTATAGAGCTACCCTTGACATTTTTCTTAAACAGGCAATAGGTATGTCTATTAACTTAAAACTCTTCCACAGTGATTCTCCCTCTGCCATTCTGTTTAAAACTATTACATCTTAAGTTTTAAGCCACACACCTAATGGCTGCATTGGCCCAATAACTGAAGCTTGATGAGTTTTAACCAAGCTTCATGTTGATGAGTGTTCCATGTGTTGTGTAAATCCAACCATATCATTAACCTTGGTAACAGAGTAAGCAGCCATTAATAAATCAGCAATCACAATGATTTGTGAGGAGGGAATTTGGGAGTTGAGTAGTTCCAGGAGTAAAGGTGTGGACCTTCAACTTATCAAAGTCTTGGTCACGCTGGGTTTCCTGCTTCTTTGCCTCTTCCTTTACTAAGACCTGCACCGGAAGGCAGGACAAAAGGATAAAAGCTTACAAAGGAGAGATCCAGCCAGTGAGAACAATTAATCAATGAAACGGCTGTTGTGGGTTCAGAAAGTTTTTAAGAAGACATTGGACAGCCATTTGTCTGAAATGGTATAGGACCATTTGGCGAATCTATGGGACACGTGCCGGAAGTGGCACACAGAGCCATTTCTGCCGGCACATGAGCTGTTGCCCAGAATAGATCCACTGGGCATGCGCACGTGCCTCCCGCCAGCCAGCTGATTGTCAGGGGTCTGCCGTGCATGTGTGGAGGGCAGGGCATGGGCGGGAGATGCCCAAGCATGTGCAGGGGGTAGGGCGCGTGGGGGGGATCGCATGCGCAGAGGTGCGTGGCGCGGAGGCGCCTGGTGCATGCGGACAGTGGTCCCATGGACATTGTATTATGGGTGCAGGGGCGCGTGCACACTTTTGGCACAGGACGACGAAAAGGTTAGCCATCCTTGGTATAGGGCTCCTGCTTGAGCAGGGGTTGGACTAGAAAACCTCCAAGGTGCCTTCCAATTCTGCTCTTTTATTATGTGACCCAGGTTTCAGCTGGTGACTGGCTTATCTGGATTTGGAAATTAAGTAGGAGGAAATGTGTAGAACAGTGGCCCCCAACCTTTGGGGCACCAGGGGACCGATTCCGTGAAGAAATGTTTTTCCGCAGACCAGAAGTGGGTGCTGTTTTGCATCCTGCCTTCTTTCCTGTCTGCCTGAATGAACGAACGAACAAAGAATGGATGGTTTATTCTGAATAAATACATTGCCCTTTGGAGAAAATTGTCTGTGAGAAGCAAGCAAGTTCCAAAATATTTTGCCATCTCTCTCTTTTTTTTTTTAAGGAGTGCAGCTATGCCCATGCTTACACCACAGCTTTTTACTTATTTGTTCATTTTTTGTGGTTGATGCCCTAGTGCAGTGGTGGCTAACCTTTTCAGACTCCTGTGCCAAAAATTGCGAGTGCATCAACATGCCCGTACTCACGTGCCAGCACCCAGAATGCAATGCCCCCCACGCATGTCTGCGCAATCCCCACTCCCAGCCTCTTACCTGCATTGCGCCTCACAGCTGATTTTTTGGCTGGTTTGAGGCCTTTTTCAGCCTCCCAGAGGCTTGGAAAAAGCCTCTGCAAGGCTACTGAGGCCGAATTATAAGCCCGTTTCGTCACTTCCGGTATTAAAGGAAGTGACGAAACAGGCCTAAAAAGACCCCAAAGGCCTAAAAAGACCTCAAACCAACCGGAAAAAAAATCAGCTGTGAGGCGTGGGGGCATGTGCAGTGAGGTAAGTTTGCCTGCAGCTCTCGTGCCAGCCCAAATGGCTCTGCATGCCACTTGTGGCACACGTCCCACAGGTTCACCATCACAGCCCTACTGGCTTTAGAATCAAAACCTTTGGATGAAAGCTTCTGGAATTCCTTTGTCTTTACGTCTGTTCAGCTGATCACCACTTTTGTCTCTTTTCTAGAAATGCGGAGTAAGTTTGATGCCGGAGAAGACCCACTGGATGCCGAGAGCCAGCAAGGGGGAGGTCACCCTTTTCACCGATCTTGGAATTCCTGGCAAGGCTTTGACCCTTTCAGTTCCGGGGGACCTTTCCAGTTTAAATTCCATTTCAATTAGAACTGCTCGACTCTTATTATTGTATTTTTCCTTTTGCATCTGGCAATCTGTATTTTTTTTTCTAGATAACTTAAAATTACCGTCTAGTCTTTGAACAGTAATGAAAGCCAGGGGTGGGGTTTTTTGGGGTGATAGTTCAAAAGGGATAGCAAAACCCAGCCATATCAATAATACCAAACTGTTTGATAGTTCCGGGCCTCCAACTCAAGACGAACCCATGTTTGAGAAAAAACTGACTCAAAAAAGCACTTTAAAGTTTACTAAACCATTGGGGCCCTTTTGTGGAAATTAATCCCTTGAAACAGCAAAATTTACTCCCACTTTAGTTACCACAAGAGGAAATGCTAAAGTCTAAAGTGACTGTTGGAAGTATGACATGTCTGCAAGCTATGACAATTTACATCATACGGACATTGGTCATTGTAGCCAGCTTGTAGAGAGTTTAAGTTGTTCTGATTAATGTTACAAGGACCATTTTCTCTGATTAAAACCTCTCCTGGTTGCTTTTAAAGAATTAAACAGAATTAAAATTTTAGCCAGGGTGCAGAGAACCATTTTCCATTGAAAATTTGCTTGACATTTGAGCAGGACTGAGATATTGGCTGGAATAAGTAGAACTTTGTTTTGCTCTTGAAGATAATTCTTGTTTTAAGGGTGGTAGATGATCATCCTCTTCACAGCTACTATATGCATGTCTGTTGTTGCACAGACTAATAACTCGTGGATCCAATTGAAAGTGTTTTCGTGCAACCGAAATCTGATATTGCGGACTGTTTTCCGAACGGAGCTGGAGTCATCTTGGGATGCAATATTGAACTTGCCCTTCTTTCACATCCCGTCTTTTTCCAGAACGTGGTTTTGAACACTTATCAAAATGATATTCATCTTTCACCTCGCTTGTTTCTCATTAATAACACATGTTACGCCCCAGTCTATTTCAATGCAAGTCTCCAAACATCTGAAAAATTAGTGGTTGAATCTCACTAGCTTTTTGGGTGTGATGTTCTTTAGGAATGCTTTTGAAACGATTTGGATTTGTCTCAAAACATGCCACGATGGACGCTTGTTGAGTGAGCATTCAGACAAAAAGCCAGGACCTACAAAGGTCTTTCATGTTTCTCTCCTCAAGAATGACTCCAGAAATGCTGGGAGAGTGAGTTGTTACCTATTAACAAATCATCCTTGTGTTTTGGACAGGACTGCATAAAGTGCCATGGTTAGAATGGGGGTTGGGGGAAAGTCTTCGCTTTCTTTGATCCAATCCGATCAGTCCATGTACAGGACGTGGTTTGGGCTGCATTGATGTTGCCTGAGCCACTTGTGCTAGGCATGTGCATGGATTGATCCAAAGGTTTGGCAGTGCTTCTGGATCAATTGAAATCAAACATTGCCTTGAAAGTGTTGCTAGAATAAATCAGGGGGCGGGGGGGGGGGGAATAGATTCTGTGAAAACTATGGTGTTTTTTTGAAGGTAACAAAATACTAAATAGTATTCAACGGTAGCACATAGTTGTTTTAATTGCTTTAAATCCTGAAGTTTAGGTTTTGGGGGGCCTTTTTTGACTGTATTGGGGGTGGGAGGGATAGGACAAGTTGAATTCTGAACTTAACAATTGTGCCAAGCCTTAATTTGTTTCTACGCCAAATAATGAATAGTAATTGTTTATTATGCTGCTGTTCCTAGTGATTTCGAGTAGACTTGGGGGAAATTTAAAAAAAAAATGTATTCCTTTGGAAATTAAAGAAGCAGTTTAAAAATCAGTTGTTCTCAATTGCTACCATAAAGCATCCGTGGAATTAAATGGCTCAAATATGGAAAAGAAAATGGGAATTTTGTCTTTGCAAAATAACTTTACTTAAGCAGTATATTTTACAACCACAAAGATTAATATTTCTTTTTAAACTTTACTACTTTGAAATCTGGAAGCTCTTTTGTGTCAGTGTGGTTTTATATTAAATTGACGGCATTGGTGTACATGTGTTATGTCTGAAATCTGATATTTAAAATTACGTTTCATCAAAACCAGTTACATATAATGATCAAAATAATTATTGCCTCTCTTAATGGGACAATGTTTGGAACCCAGTCTTCTTCATATTGAACAGAAATGAGACCAAAGTAATGGTAAATGTTTCCTAGGAAGTACACAGTCCTTTGCCCGTTAATATATGACGTGATAATATAGGGGATCTACGGCCAAGTCTTCCCTTTGACAGGAAGCTGTGGTCTGTAGAAGAGTGGTCAAAGTAATAAACTCGTCTTTTGATGTAATTTTGTGGCAGGCTAACAGTTGATCTGTTTTGCTATATTTTGTAGTGGGAGGTTGCAGTACTTGATTCCAAATGGATACTTTGTCTAATTGGAAAAAGAAATGGCTGCTTTCAAAGAAACAGATAAGACATTTTGGTGTGTGCACACCAGTCTCTTTTCTGAATGGTTCCCACAGTTCTGCGTCACCCTCCTTTACAACTAAGAGTTAGCCAGCAAACTTAAGCTGGAAGCTCAAGAGCAGGGTTTTTCAGTACAAAACTGAAGGAGAGATTAAAGGCCAATGAGAGTTAATCCAAAAACAGTGTTTAAAGGCATTAGAGCTCAGGAGTTCTTTTTTAAATTAACCTGTACTGGGGGCTGAAAAGGTTTGTTTCTTTTTATTCCCGAGATCATCAGTGAGCCCAGCAAGGCTGAGATAGTTAAATACTACCATGGAAGATAAAATATATTGAGGAAGATCCTTTAAGATCATAGAAAACACAAGACACTAAGACAGGATTCCTCATTAATAGATATTTTTTCATAATGGAGAAAAATCAATGAGCATTCTAGAAGAATCAGTGAATTTTTAAAATCATAGTTATAAATATGCTTGAGGCAGAATAAGTTATCATGATCAATGGGAAGTCTTTGCAGATTTTAGAATGCCTTCACCTAGTAAAGGACAGGGTTGCTTGGTGTTTATGGCTCACCTGTAAAGCCCTGATAACCTGAGTTAATAGAAGCCTTGCACAACCAACCACAGCTTCCAAACAATCTAAATATCTTGAAAGAGATCAGAACTGAATTTAGGGGTACAGACTCCTCAATTATGAGCCTATGACAAAGTTGCATCCCTCTGAGCACAACCTCATATTATGAATGAGTTTAAGTTTTTTTAAAAAAAAACTATTTGCAAGTTGCAAAAAAATAATCAGAGTTTGCTATTTATCACGCCAGGCGGGTTTCACTATGCTGAGCTAATGGATTGTTCCTAATGTCACCCCCATTATCCGTTGCTGTCCCCTATCTCATCGTTTGTAGCTTAGATAATGGGAGTTAATTCACAATCTGCGGCACAAATTTGTCTTTTCTGTTATTTACTTTTTGCAGATGGAAAAATTTGACCAAAGTGAATATATGTGAATATTTTTTTTTCCATAATGTGAAAACAGTATCAAGGATGAGAGGGAGGGGTTTTACTGAAATAGAATTTTTGGAAAGTGATGAGGAAGGCTGAATAAAAAGATTAATAAATGATTTCAGGTTCTGTGTTAAGTATGAAATATTGTTTCAGAAGCTCTTAGAGGAAGCATTTTGAAATTTAAATATAATACTGCATTAAGGGTTCCATTTACTTTCTGTAGAAAGGCACACAGATACCATCATTTCCAAATATGTTTTATTTACTGGGCATCTTGTACAGTCTGTTAGTTCCATGCCATGTGCAAGTCATTTTTAAAAAATTGCACAAATATACAATGTATCTCAATTACATTAATTAAAAGCAGTCTTTGTTTTCTGTCTGTGGTTGGCATTGACAAATATTCCTAAAGTTCATCTGTAAAAAGAATTTAATATTATTAATTCTGAGTGCACATTACTACAAAGCAAGACAATATTAAAAATGACCAGTATTCTCCTTCTTAAAAGTCATTTTCTCACCGCTCTTTTTTCTATCATCCCACCACCACAATATAATGAATTAGGAAACTATTTTTAAAAAATATATAAGGTTGCTGAACTGCACTCGGGATGTACCCACCCTCTGAATCCAACCAACTGCATAGGATTATGGAGACAACATTAGAGGAGATTTCCATGTAATGTTACCTCTTCAAGGCAGATAAACAAAACCAATCAACCCTCTTCTCTTCCCAGGGCAATTTCATGAACAACAGAAGTTTTTCCCGTGTCTCACCTTTTGGATGGGATGGGTTCCTGTCTGTCTTCTCATTTCTGATACGATTTATTAGCTTCTGTATTTCAGAGTCATAATCTGTCCATTCAGGAACAATCCTGATAGCAGCTTCTAGTTTAGGTTCCTTAGTTTTGGGATTGTTGCACTGAAATATATATATATGTATGTATTTTTTAGGGAGAAAAGAGGCTTACTGTGATTTAAAGTCCAAAACAAAACCCTATCACTAAAAAAGAAAAATCACCATGAAAAAAGAACTACACATGTATTAAAATGAAAATGGGTGAGTTGCAAATGAGTTACATTATCAGAAACGTCACATGCTGTGGACCAGATGAGATGAGTCCAGAATATAAAAAACTGGAAGTTCGGTTCATGATTTAAATCGTGGTAATGGCTGGAGCCCTGACACTACACTGTTTGCAATCGGTTAATTGGCTAACCCGTGTGCGATCAGGGTTTTCTCTTCTTCCAAGGTATGAGATATAAAGTAGAACAGAAATACGGAACAGTAATTCAAGATGCTCTGAGACAGAGGTGGTATTCAGCAGGTTCTGACCAGTTCTGGAGAACCGGTAGCGGAAATTTTGAGTAGTTAGGAGAATCGGCAAATACCATCTGACTGGAGATTTTACAGTATCCTTCCCCTGCCACGCCCACCAAGCCACGCCCACAGAAACGGTAGTAAAAAAATTTGAATCCCACCACTGCTGTGAGAGAAATCCTGTTAATGCTGCCAATTCAGGCAGGACCCACAACGTACCACAATTTCATGATTTCCACAATTCAGCTGTTAATTTTTACATGTAACAAAAAACGGAGACAGAATTTTGACTCACAAATCTCTCCATTACTGCTAATTAGGATTCCACGAGACAGTGGGGTGGGGAGGGAAATGCTGCTATGAAACTGCTTATAGCAGATCTTCCTAACCACTCCATTTTACACCCACTCACCAGATCAATGGTTTTAGCCTTTGCTTTGGATTCATCGCTGCACCAAGTTTCACACCATAGCCATTCTTGAGGGAGCGATTTAATCGGCACCTGATGAATCATGTTATTTGGAAGATCCTAAAAAGGTAAGATTTAGAACTGTTATTCGGAAAACAGTATGTAGTCCACTGTACCCAATGTGGTATTTCCTCTGCAGGTTGAATTATAATTGCCATCTAGCTCACACAATACAGGTATATTAGAGAACAAAAGTTGTAATACAACCTTTTAAGAGCACCCTGGCTGTTCCTTGGGAAGAGAGATGAAAATATAGTTAGATTATAGTTTGGTTTATTACTTTTTACTTTACTTTTGAATGTACACCCTAGTCCAAGGATGTCAAACTCAATTTCATCGAGGGCTGCATCATGGTTGTGTTTGACCTCGGGGGCCCGGGGGGGGGGCATGGCCAGCGTGATCTTGGCCAGCTTGACATCATTTGTGTCAGGGCCGCCTGTGGTGGCCTAAGCACTCTACCAATGAAAATGGGCTCCTGAGTTCAGTTTTCCGCTGCGACAGCCTCCTGCAACCCTCTGCCAGCGAAAATAGAGCTCGGGAGGGCCGCGCATGCGGCCATTCCAAGCTCTGTTTTCGCTGGCAGAGGCACCACAGGCCAGTCCTTCACTGTTTCCAGGGCAGCCCTGCAGGTCAAATCTAATAATCCTGGAGGTGATCCAGCCTGCGGGCCTTGAGTTCGATACCCCTGTCCTACTCAAAAATACAATACAAAATTCACTCAGCAATACCAGAATAAAAAAAAAATTAAATTGCAACAATAATAAAAGTTAATACAATAATAAACAAAAGCTAAGCAAGATATGTCAAATACTGGAAAATTAGTCTAAGATTAACCAAAGAGTGACCATGATAATCAAGTAACGAAGTTGAAGAAGACTCCTTCATTAGCAGCAGCTAAACTAAATCTAGTGCAATACAAGTGTGGGGCTAAAGATAGAATTCATGTTTTTTTAACCCCATCGCTTGAGGTTATCATGGTAAACCTGAATTCTGAAACACTTTTCACTGGCAACCTTATCATAGACAGTAATCTCCCAAAAGAGGCTAGAGTAGTTAAGGGCCAGATTAAAGATAACCTCAACTGGGGCAGACAGTACATTAACAGTATCCCTACATTGTCTTAAGACATCCAAACACAACAACATGAGGCTGTCAGAGTATATTCATGAACATGGTAACAAGGATATTCATAGAGCATGGTAACAAGGTCAGCCAATGAATAGGCATAGCAACTGTCAGCCAATGAGGACTGTTTGGAAATTGAAACTAGATGTAGCCTAGGTGTAGCTCTATATTAAGCTCTGCAGCTCTGAACTATCTTAAGCTCTGAGTCTGTCTATTGAAAATGAAACTGCTTCTCCACTCCGTTGTGTGTCTTGTTTGCCTGCTGAACTAAAGTGAAGCTGATGTCTGTTTCTCTGCTGAAGTTGAGTTGCTGTTCTGTTCTGAACCCGTTAACATGTCTGCTTCTGTTTGAGTTTGCTCCATGTTGGAGAAAGCTACAACTGGTATTGTAAAATTTACTTTATACGTTTATAAAGAAGCGCTGAATTTACGTTGCGATACTCTGAACAGAGGGCTTCGCTCATCTCTCAAGCAGCTCTCTATAAATATGCCAGTTCAGCACTTTTTTTTAGCAAGGATGAAATCCTGGGTAACAGAGGTTTTTCTTGGTAGCATATATTATGGATTCCAGCATACCTGATCTAGGTTGGATAAACTGTTTGGATCCTGACTAAGTGCTTGATATTGACCTCGGAGTCTGTCGCCTGCAGCAATCTTCCGGAATATCTTCAGGTCCACAACATATAAAGCACTAACAAAAAAAATCCAATAAAATATAATAATGCATTAGGGTTTGTTTCATGCCCTTGAAAAATGGGCTATTATCAAAATGTTGCTATTATTCTTGCTTGAAATACATTAAAAGGACATGAGGTATTTCTGTTTTGCCATGTCCTTTAGTGAATCCCATTCAGTCAGATTTTCAATGCTTAACTTTTGACAGAAAGATAAAGTCTATTGATTTGTACATGGAGAGAGAAGAGGAACAGATTTGCCTGCTTTTCCTACCTGATGTGATACTTCTTTTTCCCAAGGTGTGAAGCCCAATATCCTGACTTCCAGAAACGGTAGCCATCCATTTCTTTACGACTATCACAGAAAGGAGTGTAACCATAAGGTGCACCTCTTAAATTTAGATCACGGAGTTCTTTCAGATCACTTCTTACAATCTAAATATTGGCAGAAAATAAAGAGGGAGCTATACATTCCTGATTATAATGGCTATTTATTACAACTGCTATTTATTTAATTTCCACATTTCTAAATCTCCCATCTTGTTCATTAAGATAGATTTTCCATGATCCACCATGTATCTGAAAATAAGTTCAGTTGGGTCATCGGTTTATGTTACTTAATACATATTAATTAATGAATTAGCATCTAAGAGTGTGTCATATGCTGCATATCTTTCCGGTTGGGTAGGAAGAGAACAACAGTTATGTTGGATGCAGTGGTAGGATTCAAATAATTTAACAGATTCTCTGCCCTAACGATTTCTTCCAAGAACTAGTTCACCAAAATGCTCAGAAACTTAACAACCAGTTCTCCCAAAGTGGTGCAAACTGGCTGAATCCCACCACTGGTTGGATGG